AAACCTGTGGCCTTCTCTCAGTCCTTAACCGACTGGTCAAATCATTCCACATTGTGTTTCGGATCGGATTTGCGTCGATGTCTACAAAAGTTAAAAAAAGACCAATTCTTTTCTCAAAAGGGGACGAAATGGGACATAACATCACGGCGAGAAATTAAATCACAAATCTTCTTTCCGATATATTTGGTTATTACCGATAGGAAAATTTATTGAAACAAAACAAGTTCAGTTGACCACTGATGGCAATTCTAGAACGCCGTAACTATAAACAATTTTTTTTCTATCCTCTGCCAGCCGCAATGATGGAGAAAACATTACCTCGAACCATCGCCAGTGAGACACGCTGCAAGAGCCACTCCGTTTCACGAGGCTCGTTCCTTAATCAAGACGCAATCGCGCCAATCCTCCGAAGGAACGCCATCGAACGAGGGCCAATAACCCCTGAAGTCTCCACTGCCACACGGATACACTTGGAACGATTTGCGGGGTGTCAGTAACTGACGCTACATTTGTCTTCCCTCGAGGCAGGCTAATGGAACAGACCTCCTCTACAACCAGCGAATACTGCAACTCTATATATCTCTCTTGTTACTCATACAGTTGACTATCACCTAGCACGACAGTACCCATTTCTACTTCACGATTTGCGGGTTTATGAATTACTCTATACATCTCCATCAACAGCCTGCCGTCTGCCAACATTTTCACCAAATTGACAATTCTGAGATTCTGCTTTTATAAACATGCGACTGGAATCCCTTAACTTCCAGCTAAGCAGCACTTGATACCGAAAATTTAATTTTACTTATTTATTCCATTTCTTTTTCTGAACAATGCGTGGTTGCTTTGAGGACCTTACATTTTATGCTTTACTGCTATCGACTAAACACCAGACACATCAGTGGCAGATAAAGATCATTCGCATTTGCTCAGTGAAATAACAAAAGTGATTTGCAAAAATTAAGCAAAGTCTTACGTAACAGAAAAAATCGTTAGAAACAAAGAAAAGAGTGCTGAATTGCACTAAATTCTGGTCAATTTCCTCACAGAGGAAGAGAAAACTGGATATAACAAAAATGCGGTTCTACAGAAGGAAGCTGAGAATATCTTGAACGGAGTGCGTAAGCAACGAAGAAGAAAAATTTTAACAGAAAGGGAACATAATCGGAATCAGAAAGAGACAGCTGAGATTTATTTGACACATAATGAGAAAGAAAAGCTTGGAGAAAATGACACAGTTGTGACGATGCAGATAGCCCAAACACACATGCACGCATATATTAAGGTTAATCTCCGCCTGGCAACAGAAGAGGTCACGTGGGAGTCTCGAGACATTTTAGGAAAGCAAGTCAAGACTTTGACTGACCCAATTACCCGTAGCAACAGACGTCTAGACAGAATCTTGACAGAGGACTGACGTAAGGTCATGAAGGAGCAGAAACTGGAATTCGCGCCAAAACGCAGGACACGTGGGAATTAGAAAATTACTTGGTAGTCAGTTGCTGACTTGTCTTTGAAGGAACAAGACTCGCAATCGAAGCGCTGATAACTTATGAACGGAAAGATGAGATTCATTTTGGTAATGATGGAACTTGTCCGATTCATCCCAAGCAACTCCGGATAAGAAATATAAGGATATGTATTTCTGTTCGTTAACTCCAAATTGAAGAAGATAAATCGAGTTATTCATCACAGAAGACACAAGGAAATTTGTACGCCGAGAATAGAGCCTGCGTTTAATGAAAGAAAAGAGAAAACCAGAGAGAGGAAGAAAGTATATATCTCTGTTGCAGCCGAATCGTGTTTGAAGCTGAACTGTGTAACGAAGAAGAAAAAAAAAAAAAGCGAAAACCAGGGAGAGGGAGAAAGTGTATATCTCTGTTACAGCCGGACCGTGTGTGAAATTGGACTTGTGTAAAGAAAAAGAAAGAAAGAAAAGAGGAAACGTGAGAAAGAAAAGAAAGGACAATGAGTAAAAGAGAGAACTGAATATAAAGATAAGTAACTATATGTTTTGGACCCGTGTTAGAAAGATATACATGCCTCCACAAAATTTATGTTCTCACACACACCTTTCCACATGTCAAAGTAGAAATATGTAGATCCTACCCGATGTCTTTTGGTTATGCTTTGATCTCTGCATTCGTAGTTATTCATACTTATATTTTTTATCCGTTCGGGTTCAGTTGAATCCACTTGGATTTGAGTATATTTTGGTATCCCAACATAAGTCTTGAGATTATGGTCGTCGGATGCTTTACTCATGCTTATATTTTTCTTTTATTGTAATATCTTGTGTATATGTATATATTAAAATTCTTATACCAAAATTTATTACGCCTTATCGTTCATCCTTGAATTGTGGATCAGTATTCGTGTTGAAACCGAAGCGAACCTAGGAAAAGATTACTGTTTGATTATACCAATCGGACAATGTTCTTTAAACTATTTTTGTTTATTAATTGTTCATTTGTCATGGTCTGGGAGAGATAGCCCGTATCTCTCCATAGATGTGATAATGTATATATCTCCTGGTCGGCGTATGATCGCATTATAAATTATTCGTCGACTAGGGCATATGACACAGTGTATATCGAAATCAAAAGTAATTTACGCAAGTCATAAATTAAACATATCGTGCTGTTCTTGAATTTTTGATTGTGGAACTGATTGCGTTGTAGGAAATATAAGATCGTAAGTAAAGAGTTTGTCATGAATAACTTCGTATGCAAGGGTACAAAATTTCGTCTACCCAGTGTCGTCCCTGAGATTATTTTGAAAAGGGATTGCGCTCAGGACGGCCTGCGGAAGCAAACATAAATATATTCGTCAAAAAAAAACAAAATAGAATATATATATATATATATATATATATATATATATATATATATATATATATATATATATATTTCACGTAGTTATATCCATAAGAATATTGGACTCAAAACTTTTTGTAACAATAACCCTGGAGTACAAGTCAGCAATTTGCTGCCGGCGCGCTCGAGAGCACTAATGCACCATAAAAGGTAGCCAGGTGCTTCCCAAGTTAAGAGGAGAGTAACTGATGGATTATTTTTATATTTAAAATATCACAGGTTTCACACAAGAACACTTAAATATAGAAAGTAATGTCTAAGAAATAATTGGTTATTTCTGGAAACTTCTTTATTATTTTTGCTATTTTCAAATTTCATGACTAATTATTTCTCATTAAAATTTAAAGTTTCGTCCCAGAGTTTTAGTTATTTTATAAGTGCAATATGAAGTAGGAAAAGGCTGAGAAACATTAGTATAAAATATTGAGAAACATTTAATGTTATTCTCTTTATAGTTTTATGGTATTGTATAATCAGCACTTGTGCATCGGCAACCATTTTCCTTTGTGATGATCTATATTATATATATATATATATATATATATATATATATATATATATATATATATATATAAGCCAATGTTTTGAAAATGATATCGTCTCATAGACGTTAAGTGATATTTTCTTTCAAATATAATCTTAAACTTAAGCTATTCTCCTCAGGGACCGGAGATAATAGCTTCTTTTTTTTTTCACTTGGCTATGCGAAATAGCTAAAAAAGAAAATTTTTAGACTATTCTCATTATTTGCCTTTTTCTTGTTACTTCATTTTGTTTTATTATTATTATTATTATTATTATTATTATTATTATTATTGTTGTTGTTGTTGTTTGTGAATGTTATGTTTACTGCTTTGTATCCTGTACAGTCGGGTCCAAACTATGGTCCTTATGTCCTATAGGAGAATTCTCGTTAATTGATAGCACTTTTCTTAGTATATGGTATGTTCCTAGTAAGGAAATCTTCTGGGAAATTTGTATGTTGATGTTACCTGGGACACTGTTAGTAAAATTGTCCATTCCTTTTCTCATGATGTCCAGAGCTCCGATTACTATTGGTAGAGTCTCAATCTTCATTCCGTACATCCTGTTAATCTCGATCTCCAGGTCCTTGTATTTGGACAATTTCTCGATAATTTTCATGAAGGTGTTTCTCTCAGATGGTACTGCTATGTCAATAAGCATACACTTCCTGAATTTAATGTCTTTTATGATAATATCAGATCTGTTGGCTCTTATTTCCCTGTCAGTTTGAATTGGCATGTCCCAGAGAATAGTTACATCATTATTTCGGGTAACTGCGTCTGGTTGATGCTCATACCATCTGTTAGCGGTTTCGATTTTGTACTTCTTGCATATTATTATTATTACTATTATTATTATTATTATTATTATTATTATTATTGAGCAAGAAATAATAATAATAATAATAATAATAATACAAAAGCCCATTTCAAACATCATGATGGCCAATCTGATATGGTTATGCTAGGCACATGCATTACAGCCAAATATACACGATGTGATGAAAACTTTTCTTCATTTTTTTATAAAAGAAGCGCATAAAATCTACAAATGAAACGCCGACAAAAATTTATTCAGATCCAGTAACCCAAGTCTGCTCTTTGATTGAGAGAGATCACGAATAACTGGATAGGACTTCCAAATTGCTTTAAATGTTTCATTATTTAAAGCTAATTAAAAAAAATCGTTTCCACACAATGCTTTCTCACTACACCCGCTCATAAGTGGGGGTGCACAGTGCATCATCCCTGAAGAGATATACCCAGCTACTTAAGGTCAGGTATCTGACTAGCAAACCTCTGATACAGGTAGACGGATATTTACTCCACCCCATCCAAATTCATCCAGGCAAATCATGTGCACATTTAAACCCTTTATCAATCAATATAAAAAGATATTATAACTTAAGAACCTTAGGGCCATATCATGTTGAAATACCTGTTCACGTACGATGTCCGAAGTTAAGCAACGTCGTGTCTGGTCAGTAACTATCAATCTCAGTTCATATCTATCCAGCAGCGTGGAGTAGGTAAACCACTGCTAGTGGTGAACTACATAGACACCATATTACCCCCACTTACATTATTGTCCAACATATTCATGAGGATTGGGACATATCTATTAGGGTTCATAGGCACGGTATATAACACTATCTATCTATCTATCTATCTATCTATCTATCTATCTATCTATTTGTCTGTCTGTCTGTTAATCAGTGGGCTTACGGCCACATCACGTTGAAACACCGGTTCCTATACGATTTCCGAAGTTAAGCAACGTCGACCATGGTCAGTCTCTAGATGGGTGACCCCTTGGGAATACCAGGTGCTGTAAGTATGGATGTGCGGGTGGTGTAATGGATAATGGCTCGGGATTGTTAATCGAAGAGCCGAGTTCTAATTCCAGTTGTGTTCATTATATTCACTTACGCGCATATACCCTTCGTAAAATGTATGAATTCACCTCATCTCTTCCCGGCTAAGCGTTAATTAATAAGTCCTGTATAACTAAATAATTATTATTTCGAAAAAAAATATCTTACAATCTAGAATATTTACTGGCTTTAAATAACCTCCAAAAAGTTGTTAAGCCATAAAAACAAATTAATCAATCATTATAACACAAGGGAAAAAATAAGGACAAAAACTTTTTATGACTGCAGAGCTAAAGTTTAGTCCGGCATGGCGAAATAAATTTTCGGTGCCCAATGAAAATTGATCTCAGTCGAATAGGAAGAGCCTACGAAACTGGCGCGTGGAGAGACACCGTTGAATGCTTACGGGGTGTAGTTCATTCTTACACATATTTCGATAACCTCTGCTCCATGGCAAACTGAAATTTCATTTTAGCAAAGTCTGACACAAGGCCAAATATGCGACGTCTCCAGCGAGGGCAAATGTCGCTCTTGTAATAATGATTTACATGAGGACTACTGTCCTCATCCTTGTTGTTGTTATCACAACGTTTTCGACCGGTACGTCATCCTGCCTTCATCAGGTCTAACTCGATTCGAGTAACCAACAGGAAATTTGGAATTGAACCCTTGCCAGGATCGATTTTACCCATTTACAGATCTACCTTTCATCCATGCTCTGAATATTGCTGTCACATCTGGTCTGGTGCTTCTGCTAGGTATTTAGAGAATCTTGATAAAATACAAAGAAAAATCTGCAATGTAACTGGTCCTGACTTGGCATCTCGGTTTCATTCACTTTCCCACCATCGTAACGTAACTTATTTCTGTCTTATAAATATTTTCATAGTAATTGTTCTGATAGACTTTCCTATTTGGTATCTAGACTTTACGAATTTAAGGCTAAGTACTAGATTGGTAGCTAGGTGTCATCGCTTTAGAGTTGAAATTGGTAGATGAAACCGTAAGTTCTATGCTAACAGATTCTTCTTTAGTACTTCTCGTAGAACTCTCTTCCGTTTTCTTGTTTTTCATTGAACTTCAAAAATGTAAATGCAATCTCAATCGTCATTTTCTATTTTCTTCAATCAAGTTATTTTATAGATACAAGTATTTAAGCAAATGCTCTGTTTATGATAAACAGTATTAAATAACATTTACCGGCCTGAATGTCCGAGAAATTTTCATAGAAAATATTCGTTCTTTGACAGGATTCGAACCTGCAGCCTATACAGAACCGTCATATACGCTGACGTGCCTTACCTCTAGGCTACAAAGAAGCGTTCGGTAAACAAGGTCAAATTTACTGCTTATAAACTTCAATCTTAAATCTTGCTTAAATACTTGTATCTATAAAATAACAACGTTAAACATAAAAAATGTCTTTAATAAATAAATTGTCGGACCTTGTCCATTTCTTAATATATTATTTTATTATCCTTTCTCTTTAATAATAATGTTTTTTTTTCTCAGATTTTTTCACACTCAGTAATTCGTCCTGGATATAGCGATATACTACAACTGGTAGCAAGGCCTGTGATTGGGAGGTTTTTAATTTTCTTTTTTCTTGAAAACAGTTTTAAATGAAAGATTTTAAAAAAATCAACAGATAGTAACGCTAACGTCTGCCTAAATTTCTGAGATGAGGAATTATCAATATTTACATTATTAACGAGGGGACTATTTTCGTTATCTTTGTTGTTATTATCACTCGATCGCCTTCTGTCCGAATTTCTGGGATGAGGAGTTACCATTAATTGCACTATTTACGCTCGGACTATTGTCGTTATCTTTGTTGTTATTATCACCTGATCACTTTCCGTCTCGATTTCTGGGATGAAGCGCTATCATTATTTCACTATTTACAAGCGTATTATTGTCCTCACCTTTGTTGTTGCTATCCTGACTTTTCGACTGTTGTGCCTTCCGGCCTTCATCAGCGTAAATAATGAAATGTAGTTAACATTTAACTTTGTACAGATTCTAAGGATGATAAATCCCGCTCTTGTAATTGTCTGCAAGTCTACCTTTAAGACGTTTGTTGGTATTAATTCAAAATTAATTGCTACTCTACCAATTTAAAACATTGGCTCCCTTAGAAGTGCCAAAGTTCCTGCTCAGTAACTAGGTGGGTGATTGCTTGGTAATACCAGGTGCTGTAAGCTTGGATGTGCGGGTGGTGTAATGGACAATGGCTCGGAATTGTTAATCGGATAAGTCGTTTACCATTTCTCGTCGAGTTCGTAATGTGCATTTATACGCAAATACCCTTGGGAAAGGCATGATACTATCTTTTCTCTCCGCGCCTATAGGTCAATTAGTAAAACTTGTATCGCTAAACTATTATGATCGCAAAAAAAATAATCTTAAAATCTGAAAATCTGGCTTTAAATAACCTGTAAAGGGTTGATAACCCGTAGAAAACGAATTAATCAATCAATCAAATACTGATTAGCCACACAGGCATGTCTTTTAGATTTATTTATATTCTCTAGAATATAAACATATAGAAACCCCTGTGGCCGCAAAAAGAGTGATCAGTTTATATACTGATTATAATATAGAATTGATCCCTCCTCTTTATATTCACGTTATCATTTCCTGTTTGCTTATCAAATTTTATTTAGGTATGAATCCACCTCTTCTCCCACCAGCTATGGGTTAATTAGTAAGAATTGTATCACAAAACCATTATTATCTCAATAATATTCTTACGATATAAAAATATTTTCTGGCTTTAAATAAACAGCAAAGTGTTGATAAGCTGTCAAATATCTAACCAATCAATCAATAATTATTATTGATCATATCATTCCATCATCACTGTTCAGACTTGTACGGTCACGATGAATGTTTACATACTCTAAGATGTTCTATGGATTCACTCCAGGCTTCATATCTGACTCTTGGAAAAAATGGTTGGGTCATTCTGCAGCTACAGAACGAACCTGACTCCCCCGCTGACATGTTCTATATTTCCAAGAATCAAATTAAACCAAAAATGGAATATCGTTGTGGTTGATAAATAGTTTTCCACCCGACAGACTCTTTCCTCACAGACGAAAACGTGCTTGACTATCGTTATTCTATCGCTATTTCCATGGCAGTTATCAGAGCGAACACTCCTTCGTTTCACCAGTTAAGACATTCGCAGTTAGGCTATATTTACTGAACTGACCCAGCCTCCTCCTTATCATATTCCATTGGTAAGGAGGAAGATCCATTCAGAGTGTTTCTTCTTCGGAACTGTTGTGTTGTGCAAATGACTCCCAATAGTATGCTTCCTCGATCACTACAATATTAACCTCTACAATTCTAGGGCCAACTATTATCTATCCTGCGTATCCCCATAATACCCATCTTTTGCGTCCTCACTTATAACAACCTAAATTAGTAAACCTCTATCTTAAGTGGCTCTTTGGCCCTAAAGTTCATAATTGTTTAAGCGTTCTTGTAAGCAGTGTTATTTTCGCCCTCTTTTTAAATCCTTCACCCAAAGGAAACATTGCAACCTTATAGCTCCTCGATCGCTGTTTCCATGGAAAATGTTCAAATGAGCTCCGATCTTTAGTTCCACCATTTAATATATTTTTATCTAGGACTTTCCACGTTACATCCACGCAGTCGAATCATCTGTATTTCCCCCGTATTTCCATTCAAACACATTTTTTTTTATTTACATTGTTCAGACTGTTTATTGCCATATTCACAGTGTTTTGGCCGTTGTACGTTCCGACCTTCATCAAAGTTGGAATTTCGAACCGAACGCTTTATTTCGGCCATGGAAAAGATTGTTCTCGTTCCACATGCCATGGCTTTTCTAGATATTTCAGTTTCAGTTATTTCTCTTTAGTAAATCTCCAATTTTTTGTTTACCTCTGCTGTGACCAGGTATTGAACTCACAACTCTTTGGTTTATTTCAACTAACGCTTTTATCCACTGGGTCATGTATCCTTGGGGACAGTGGATAATTGGCCCATTTTGTTTCAAGAACTGCCACCTTTCTTGAATGCTTCAATCTGGACTAGTTCATGTCAAAGATCAATCGCAGTTTCCCCTCCTTACAGTTATTCACAACCGTCTACCTCGACTAGTTCTTGAGCCGAATATTGGGTGTGCATTAGTATAAAAATAAATTAAGCGTAACTTAGACTAAGATAATGTACAGTCTCTTGTGATGATAAATTTCGATTTCGTATTGATGTTTTTGTGCATAACGTGATGCTACTCTTTGCCTATTATAAGTGAATGTGTTTATAATATTTAGTGGAAGAGGAGGAGGAGAGAAAACGAAGAGAATTTGTAGAGGAGGTGGAGGAGGCTATATTTTATAATGATTGTCATATAACTGTATAAGAAAAACACACACACACACACACACACACACATACATACATATACATACATATATATATATATATATATATATATATATATATATATATATATATATATATATATATATATATATATATAATGGTAGAGTGGAGAAAAGAAACAAAAGAAGGTATTGACATTAAAAACAAAACTACGGCAACGACAAACATATCTACTTTTAGCCAGGGAATGAAATAATGTACATTCATTTGTTTTTAGTCTAGTATTGGCATTTTTCTTCAATCTCTCTCTTTCTCTCTCTCTCTTTCCCCACCCTCTCTCTCTCTCTTTCTCTCTCTCTTCCCCCCTCTCTCTCTTTCGTACTCTTTCTTTCTTTATTTATTTGTTCATTTCATTCTTTCTTTCTATATTTCTTTCTTTTTCCAGCTTTCTCTCTATGTCTCTCACTGTCTATCGATCTTTTTTTCTATCTTTATTTCTCTCTTTCTCTCTCTCTTTCTTTCTCTTTTCCTTGTCTCTCTCTCTCTTTCTCTTTTCCTTCTCTATCTTTTTCTTTCTCTTTTCCTTCTCTCTCTTTTTCTTTCTCTTTTCCTCTCTCTCTTTCTTTCTCTTTTCCTTCTTTCTCTCTCTTTCTTTCTCTTTTCCGTCTCTCTCTCTCTTTCTTTCTCTTTTCCGTCTCTCTCTCTTTCTTTTTCTTTTCCGTCTCTCTCTCTTTCTTTCTCTTTTCTTTCTCTCTCTCTTTCCTTCTCTTTTCCTTCTCTCTCTCTCTCTTTCTTTCTTTCACTTTCACTTCATTTCCTTTTCTTTTTTATTTATTTCTTTTTCTCTCTCTTATTTTGACTCTTTCTTTTTCTTTCCTTCTTGCACTCTCTGTCTTTAATTTGCTCTCTTTCTCTATGTCTTTCTTTAGTACTATTCCTTTCTTTCTTTCTTTCTCTCTCTCTATTTGTATTTTTTTTCTATCTCTTTTTTCCTCACTTTCTTTATTCCTTCTTTTCTTTCTATATTTCTTTCCTTCTTTCTTTATTTATTTATTCATTTCTCTCTCTCTCTCTCTTTCTCTCTTGCGTTCTCTCTTTCTTTTTCTTTCCTTTTTTCTCTATCCGTGACGCATTTGCTCTTCTTTTTCTCTATATTTCTTTCTACTTCTTTCTCTCTTTTTTTCTCGCTCTCTCTTTACTTTTTTATTTCTATTTTTTCTATCTTTCTCTATTTTTCTCACTTCCTTTCTTTCTATATTTCTTTCTACTTTCTTTATTCATTTCTCTCTCACTCTCTCTTTCTCTCTTTCTTCCTCTCTCTATCTCTCACTTGCTCTCTTTCTTTCTTTCTTTCTTTCTTTCTATTCATTTCTCTCTTTCTCGTTATTCCTTCTCGCTTTCACTTTTTCTTTTTCTTTCTCTCTCTCTCTTTCTCTCTCTCTCTTACTCCCCCTCTCTTTCTCTCTCTCTCTCTCTGTTTCTGTCTCCCTCTCAGCAATTTATATATATTCATACGGGTCTTTTAGAAATTAATATTCTTAAGAACTGATGTTTTTTCTTCTTTTCTGCTGCTACTGTTACTACCGTTGCCTCTCTCACTGCGGTTTTACTGGTACATATACACCACCCAGCTCGTCTGCCCCACCCCGGCCATAGCGACAGTTTCTTACGGCATAATATTTTCGCTTTATAACGACGCATAGTTTTCATTTACTTGATTCTCTGTCTCTCTGTTGTTCCCATTCAGTTTGAGCGGAAGACAATTTCGGCGCGCACCAACGAACCTATATCGCATAATTCTCTACCACAGCTAAGCCTAGCCTGGCACAAGGCTTTAATAAACGGTCACTTGATGAGATCCCAGCTCCCGAAAAGTATAGACAAACGGCTGAAACAACGGTAATCATCAGCTCACCGAAGATAAGCAACGTTAAGTATAGTCAGTACTTAGATGGGTATGGAATACCACGTATTGTAACCTTAAATGTGCGTGCGGTCTAATGGAGGAAGGCTCTGAATAAGAAATCGGTGAACCGCGTTCGAATAGCAGTCGGGATCGTTAAATTCATTTTCGCGCAAATACTCTCGGGAAATTTAGCAATCAACTTCTTCTCTCCCGTCTATGGGTTAAATAGTAAGACACGCGCCTGAATATCATTACAATCGCCAAAAGATTGTTAATATAATATTCACTCGCAAAAAATAGTCTTACAATCCAAAAATATATTTCAGCTTTAGATAAACTACAAAAGGTTGATAAACGGTAAAAAACGCAGTCTTATCAAATAGTTAAATTTCCGTATTTGCTTGATGTTTATCTCTCTAATTCATGGCTCATATCTTACTAACAACCATACTTCTTTTTAATGTGCCATGTCCCTTCAGGACGTAGGCGATCATAGCTCTCCACAATAGGGAATCGGAGAATAGCGTTCGAATTGCAGTTGGGATCGTTACATTCACTTTCGCACCATTACCCTGGGAAATTTAGCAATCCACTTCTTCTCTCCCGTCTATGGGTTAAATAGTAGGGCTCGTGTCAGAATATCATTATAATTTCCAAAAGATAGTTAATACAATATTCACTCACAAACAAAATCAAATCAAATTTAATTTTGATCCAATATCTTGAAGCTTTAAATGAACGACGAAATGTTGATAAACAGTAAAATATCAAATCTAACAAAAAACGTAAAGTATAAAAATTCGTTCTCTACAATAGGTGTCATTTGAGATACTTTTGAAATATAGTATAGTCTAATACAAATTTCGAAAATAGTGATTTTAATTTTGGTTGGAATTATCATTATTGTATGGTTTGCTATTCGGACCAACATGCTCAGCTACGTTATTATACCCGCAACGTTTCAGCCATTATATTTACTGGTTCTCTTCAGGTGTCTGTCTTCGTACTCGTGACCTTTGTCGCAATTTTAATCCATGAGGCGATATTTCCAACATACATATGGTCTATTCGATTACATACCTGGCCCTTACTTTCTAACCTTGATAGATTTTAAAAGCGTCTCCGTGACCTTGTTGGTGATGAATTATTTTCCGCTTTACAACCTCATTTCCTCACAGACCGGAAGTTGCTAGTCCCACACTAGTTATCACTATTTCATGGCAAATGTTCTGACGAGCTTAGAACCTCCATGTTACGTACACCTGTACAAAACATCCCTATTTTCTTCGTATTCTGTTAATAAGAAAAATGATTCTCAAGTGTAAAAAAAAAAAAAAAACTCCCGAGAGGATGCTTCCCCAATTTCTACTCTCTTAAATTCTTAAAGTCTCCAGTTAACCGCTATCTTTCCTACATATTCTTATAGTTCTTACTGCTTGGTCTTACGTTTAGGGGCATCACTTAACTGCTTTTGTTACCAGGTCCACTTTAACCCTTAGTGGTAGCACCTGTTCGGGTCCCAACTATGGACAAATAGTAAACACTCAAACAAAAAACAACAGTACATTTTCATAATAAAATGACTAACAATACATTTTTCATAGCATAAGAAAAATCAATGCAGCATTTGGAATGTCGAACTGAACACTGATAACTGATAACTGACATCCATTAGACATGGCACGTGGAACTGGAACAGTCTACCCCAGCGAGCGAAATAAAGTGTTCAGTTCGACATTCCAATCACCTGAAGAAGGCCGGAGCGTACGACTGAAAAGTTGTGATAAATATGGCAACAAAGATGATGACAATAGTCCGAATAATGTAAATAGTATACATAATACCACATCTCGGAAATATAGATAGATAATCAATGCAACAGTAAATATATATATATATATATATATATATATATATATATATATATATATAATAAAATTATAAATAATACACTTTAGGATCTACAAATTAAATATCTAAAAAACCATACCTTTACACTGGAAGTATAAAATTACGTATAAAATCATAAAATTACGTACAAAATATTTCGATTTCGGCATTAAATAACCTATAGAGGTTGATATGCCGCTAAACAAAATCAACCGAGCAACAATAAATATTTACAGTAAAATTAGCAACAATACATTTTATCTGTAGTTAAGGGCATACAGTTGCGTTCAAATATATATTTAGTTGAAGCCATAAAACCCAAAAGATTTAGATTCCGGCATTAAATAACCTATAGAGGTTGATATGCCGCTAAACAAAATCAACCAACCAATGTACTTTCATACAAAAACCCTTATTCTGTGATGTTTTACCTTAAATGGCTCTTGAGCGTAGTATTGGGTGTGTAATTATTCAAAAAGGTAATGGTTTCTCTGGCATTTGAGAGTTAGATTTTCTCGTCTGGTATTACCATTTCGAAATTTTAAGAAGGTTACTTATGATATCAGATCCCTGGAAACCGGTTTTTACAACGGCCTAAACGTTGTGCGTATAACAATCGAGATGAGCACGCTCGTCTGATTAACAAGGCGTGTAGCAATGAAACGCTATTTGAGGCTCAAAATCATATGAATAAGGATGAGTAGCAGGTGAGGGACCTTTGGTTTAGCGGTATATCAAACTCTCTGGTTTGTTTAATGCCGAAATCTAAATATTTGGAACACAATTTTATGGCTTCACGATAGACTCCATCTTAGGTGCTTAACTAAGTCTGACATAAGTTTTCATCAATGACGCCCACGTTGAACATTGAAGTTTCTGCGTAAACTTAGAGAATAGTTTGCAGCACGTTACACGAAATCAGACGCACTTTAAGACGTTTACGAAGCTCAGCCAAGTCTGATAAAATATTTTATCTCTGAAGTACCCATGTTAGGAGCGACCTTTTCGTCGATGTTTTTGCGTTACTGGAATAGAAACCATTGCTTTTCGTCTAGTCGTTTCTGGCACAATCCACAAATAGTGAAAGGGAACTGCATATTCGCAAAGGCTTGCGGTATGAACAAACGACAGGCGTTGTACAACAGAAGGCGTTCTTAAAATTATTCCATGTTATTAGTGCTATTTATAAATGAAAAAAAAAAGTCACTATTATTATCTTTTCCCCTCCCTTTATTTCTTTCTCTATTTCTCTCTCTTTCGATTTCTTTTTTTTCTGTCTCCCGCTCGCATTCTTCCTATCTTTCTCTCATTTTTCTCTCTCTGTCTCTCCTTCTTTCTACCCTGCTTTTTATTTCTATTTCTTTCTCTCTTTTGTTTTTCTCACTTTTTCTTTCTGTCTTTCTTTCTTTCTGTCTCTTTGTCTGTATTTCTTGATTTCCCTCTCTCTTTTCCCTAACTTTCTCTCTTACATTTTCTCTCTTCTTTCTTTCTTTCTTTCTTTCTTTCTTTCTCTTTGTCTATATTTCTTTATTTCCCTCTCTCTTTTTTCTAACTTTCTCTCTTAAATTTTTTCTTTCTTTCTTTCTTTCTTTCTTTCTTTCTTTCTTTCTTTCTTTCTGTCTCTTTGTCTATATTTCTTCATTTCCCTCTCTCTTTTTTCTAACTTTCTCTCTTACATTTTCTCATTTTTTCTTTCTTTCTTTCTTATTAGTGATATTTGCAGATGAATAAATTCCATATGATTGACATTAGTAGAAGTAGAAGTAGTGGTAATGGTAGTAGTAATAGTAGTAGTAGTAGTAGTAGTAAGAATAGCTGTTTCACCCCATCTTTTCAATACCATAACCAAGAAAATAATCTTGGGAATAAAGAAATGACAAGATGTTTGGATTTAATCTAATCACAAAAAAGCTTCATCTATAAAGTAGCAACAATAAAAATGAATTGGAAATTCTGAAATCACATAAATAATCTCTATCCATAAAAGGCAGGAGGTGTGTGTGTGTGTGTGTGTGTGTAACGAATGCACGGCCGCAATTTTCGACGGATTTGCACCAAAATTTACATGCACATGCTCCTAGTTAGTGGAAAGGCCAAGACCGACTTTGCACTTCCCAACTCACATCGATAATGGAAATAATCGATTTTTTTCATGCTTCTACGGCAGTTTTCATGTAGTTTGCGGCCATTTTCTACTGACCAGAGTGAGAGCCTATAGCTGGATGTCACGATTAGACAGGAAGATTCTATTGGCCAGCGTGAGAGTCAACAGCTGTCTGGCACGAATGTTAATTAGCATGCTAGCATGTAAAAAAAAATCGATAGCTGCATTCGTCACAAGTGAGAAAAATTTAAATCTGCATGGCACTTTACTCCAATTGGCTCATTTGCTTGCTTAAACTCAACGTTGATTCTGATTCCGCAGAACCGGGTTGGGTGTGAAGAAAGTATTTGTTGTTAACATTCTTTTTTTCCTTCGGTTTTTCCAGTTACGAGTCCTTTTTTAAAGCTGATCGTTTTGTGTTCATTTTATTCTTTTTTCGTAACCGATTTAATGTTTAGTATAGAGCTTAGAAAAAATTCGCAGTATGAGATAGGCAAAAAGTAAGGCATGTAGCAACATCAGCATGGCAAAGGACACTCCTTTAAAGGCAAGAAAGGGCAAAAATATTTTAAGTCAAGTGATAGCGATTGCTGTATGAGTCGTACGATTTTTGAATCAAGCCCGGGCAACGCCGGGCCATGCTGCTAGTAAGATAATAAACGTGAAACAGTTTAATCTAAAATTTATCAATAAAATGCACGAGAAAAATTATTATTATTATTATTATTATTAATAATAA